TAGTTAAAATAAATTAATCCATTAAAAATCAAATATAGACAACAAACCCTGTACATAAATATTAAAACGTTCAAGATGACGGGGGGCGGGGTAATAATATAATAATATAGTAATATATATCATATAGTAATAATATATATTAATATATTATATAAATAAATAATAATAAAGTAATACCCTGTCATGCAAAGTGTCTGACTATTCTCCCTGTTTGTAGAGTACATCTGAAATAAGACTATGTGTATGATTAAGATTGATGACAAGTTGATGTTACATCCTTACTGCTTATCTAATACAATAGCAGTAAGAGACTCCCGTTAGTGAATACTTAACTTCTAACTCTATGAAATAGTTCTTGAAATCTGCTCATCTTTATTTTCTCTAACATCAGCCCTTCAGTGTTATCACAAGCAACCTTTTGTAATGAATGTATTTAAAGCATTTTTTTTTTTTAGGGGTACAATATCTCCTCACAGTTTATGGTGACAAGAGAAAAGGCAAGAAAGATACATTAGCAAATATAAGAATACATTAAGTCTGGGGTTCTCAAACTGTGGGTCCCTCTTCCCTGGGGGTCAGGAGCAACTTAGAAGGGCAGCTACAAACCAGCTTGCAAAGGCAAAGCAGAAAGCAAAGTTTGGAGTTAGTTTTGCAAGATGGCTAATCCTACGGATCTAGTCTTTGGTCAAGCTATCCACAAATTGTAGCAGTTGTTTTAAGATTACTATTAGTTTTATTTATTTCTGAAATGTGGGTCATATCAAGAGTACGCACAGGATTCCGAAGTTCTTTAGTGGTCTCCTGAAGTTAGGATGGTAAGAGCTGTCCTATTTGTGGGAAGCTGCCCAGAGGCATACTGATTGGGGCAGCCTGTAAATATATAAATAATTATCTAGTTATTTAAGGCCTTAGCCTGGGTAAAGGACAGAACATCTTTTCCTATTTCCTCTTTTTTGAGGAATCTCTTCTGTAACTAAATATGAACAGAAAAAGTTGAGGGGTAAAAGATGAATTAAATTAGGTGAGCAGAGAGGGAGAAACTGCTAAAATTTGTTTATATTTCATCTAATTCACCTCAGAGGAAAAAAATCATGAAAAAATTCCACACAGTTGCTCTTATGGTACCCCCACAAGTGTCCTCCCATTGGTTGCCAGTGAACCAATGAGGTTACCTCCATGTTCTGAGCTGCTTTATCAAACCAAATCTGTATTGTTTCTCACAAACCTACTAGAGATTCTCTTAGAACTTTAATTTGCATTCCTGCACTGAGCAGAGGGTGTCTAAATGATCCCTTCCAACTCTGAATCTTTGATTCTTTAATTCTATAAAATCTGAAAATAACTATTTTAATAGTGCCTAAACATTCACAATGCATCTTTAGAGTTCTAATTCAGTTTAGGTCTTTCATCAGGATCTTGATTTGCTTTGTAAACCCACAGAATCAGCCCAAAACAACTTAAATTGACTTTGAATTTGGCTAACTCCAGTAATCAGCCCTTTTCTCCTCTGCTAATTTGGCCTTTGATGGTGCATCGTACAAAATATTCAGGAACTGTAAGAAATTTGCCCTAGAGAGATTCAGTCTCCACTAACACTGAAAAACAATTTGGATTTATTGACTAGTTCGTACATAGTGTTCAGACATCGCCTTGTTTGGATAAGGATATTGTATGAGGACTGCCAATTATAATTTGTAAATCATAGATTATGGCATAGTTGTGTGAACCCATCATTGTGATTTATTCAAGAAGCAGTGGTTAAATAAATGTGGCTTTGCACAATGAATCCAGCTAGTTGGGAAGTTTCTCAGCTAAATGACAACGTAAAAGCAAATAATTTGCTTTCACATTGCAACCTAGCTGGGAAGCTCCCCAACTAGCAAACACAGGATGCTTAAGCTCAATTCCAGAAAACTGTTCTTTAGGTAATCCTGGTTCAGGAAGTGAAACCATTTTTAAAAAATCCACCCTGAGCATTCTGATACAACTAGTGCCATTTTTGTTCAATAACTGAGAACAAAATTATAATAATTTGGATGCTTTTTGTTTAACACAGATTAAGCTAGGCTGAGATCTTATATTGCTTGATTGATTAAATCCTTTCTGAAGACTATATGGAAGAGAGACTGTACTTTTACACAAAATAGAAGATTGATAATATTGTCGGCGATGAACACTGGACTGGATTGTTTAACTGATATTAAAGGGAGGCAGAAGACATTCCTTGGGTATCTCAAATTTGTGCCCTGGTTTCAAGAAAAAGACTTTCTCATTGGTTGAGAAGGAGTTTCTATAACTATTCTATAGATAACTGAAGTAATATCCTTTTCTAAATGTTCATTTGTTTATATATTGTTTTTTGATCTCACCAGAATGATTAAAGTTGTAAAAAAACAACATAAAGATACAAAATAAGAAAAAACAAAGCAAGGAGACATAATAAACATATATAAGAAAATACTAAATAATCATAAAACAGTTCACAAAATCTGGCTGTGGAACTTTCACATCACAGAATCTTCTTATGTGAAGTAGTTATATTTCTACTATAACACTCTGTTTCCAAAAAAGGAAACTCTGCTCTTGCAAGTTGTAATTCTTTTATTTAAAAATTGAAAACATAATTACAGCATTAAACAAGAAGTCTTCAGACAACATACTTTTTGTTGTCTGTCTACTCTATGAAGACTATCTTTGGACCATGCTTGTTATCTCTTACGTCATCCCTCTCATTAAGGCAGCAGCGTAAGATGTCCGATTATTGGTGATTCCAGAAGAAAGTTTTTTGTTTTTTTTTACACTGAGGAAGATCTCTGGTTAAGTTAAAAGGAAGAATGAGCTTACATTATCAATTTATAGTGGCCAAATTCTGCAGCGAAATCTTTTAGTTTTGGAGCTTGAGGTGTAGCATAATGTACTTAAATTGGCAAAATATGTGAGTGTGCACACAAAACGTATAGTTTGAGTCTCAAAGCTGAAATAATTTTTATACCCCTAAAGTCACAAATCCATACCATCTACCTCCAATTAAATCTCTTTGAACTCAAGAAGGCTTTCTTTTGAAGCTTGTGAACTATGATCTATTAAAGTATACTAGAATCAAGGAAAGATTATAGTTTTTCTTTTATTATTT